TGTTGTGACATGTTGGAGCTACATCAAGTGCAGTAATTGTTGTTATTGAGGCTCTGTGTGTTGTGTGGCCTGTGCTGGTGCCTGGAATTTCCCCTGTGGAGCACTGCAGTGTGACTGACGGTCCTTCCTCTCTCACTTCTGGCATGGCTTCGTTTTGAGCTATTGTGAGCTGATTATTTCCTTAGCCTCTATCCGGTCCCCTCCGTCTGCAGAGGCAGATACTAGCTGTCAGAGATAGTTATATTTACAAAGCTCCCCCACCACCTCCCCTGCGCCTCCAATCCCCCACCGCTGTGCATGTTCTCTGTATGTTTTAGATGTTGTACAACAACAATTTGCATTTACACAGCGCCCCTCACGCAGGGCAGCGTCCCAGAGCGCTTGACATAGTGGAGCACAACGCTGAATGGGGGGGAGTGGGGAGGTGACTGTAAGCACGGTCGAAGAGTAAGGAAGAATGAGGCAAGGCGGAGGGAGGGATAGAGGAAGAGCGTTCCAGAGTTTGGGGCCATAGTGGCTGTAAGTGTGGCCATTGATGGTGGAACGGAGGGCACGAGGGACTTGCAGGAGACCAGATCCCGGAGTCAGTTGAGCGGAGGCAGCGGTTAGTAGATTGTGGGGTAAACAGTTCAGAGGGGTCGGGAGGTGCCAGGGGGGATTTGAAATCGCCCTTAATGTCATTAATGTCTACCTGAGCAGGCAGAGGGGAGCTGAGCATAACGTCTCATCCAAATGACCAAGTTGTCCGTGTCTCATGGAGTGTCTGGAAATAAGGGATGGCGGGGATGTTTCTTTCAGCAGTGTTCTAATGTGTGGTTTTTGGAACTTAATTTAGCCGTGCAAGGTTAAAGGAGCCATTTATGTGATTTGGCTGGACCTTGAGACTGCCTTGTGTAATGGTGCTGAGATGTGAAGGGCAGAGAGGGACCTGAGGGAGGCTCAGGGTGAACACTCCCATTTTTTAATCAATCACATATTATGATTTTTGTTCACAGAGCCTTACAAAGTGGCATTTTCTCTTCTCTCAACTGTCTCTCCCCCCCCACTCCCACATACAGTTGTGGATTAAGTGACCAAATTATTATTATAAATTTTTGAAGGAATTATTACCCCAGATAAGCAATCCGACGATCGACTAACAACCAAGTTCTTACTTCCTGCTAATAAACAGAGGCATGCAGAGTAAGAAAACTTGCCCAACATTTTGCCCTGCCAGGAATCGAACACAAGTTTTCTCGCTTGCGAGGCGAGTGCTTTAACCACTAAGCTACAGGACTGCACAATATTTGTTAGGTCAGGGTATCAAGGGATACAGGGCAAGGGCGCTTATTTGTAGTTGAGGTACAGATCAGCTATGATCTTATAGAATAGCAGAACAGGCTCGAGGAGTTGAATGGCCTCCTCTTGTTCCTATGATCTCTTTCCCCGACACAGTTAGCGCTTCTCAGAACTTTGCTCCCTTGTCCTCCTTACTCTTAAAATGAGGTGTCTCCCCCCCAGCACACAGTCTCCTACTCTGGGTCCGTCTCTCCAGAGACTGGAACCCCTCTCAATGTTCCCTTCTTTGCACAATCTCCAGGGGTTTGAAAGTACATGCTTGATGGCACCCAGCCACCACTTGACTTGTTTGTTTCCTTTACTGTTGAGCCTTGGTTCTCAGCCCTTCACCTGCTTCTCAATCTGAGGAAACGGTGTTTAAGCACATGCTACACTTGGCTCAATAACACGTGGCACACCGGGGGAGGGGCAGGACTTTGCGGGTTAACTCTAGCAGCCCCCGGCTTGAGTTGAGTGCTTAACTTTGTTACAGTTCGATTGGCTTCAATGAATCTCTTCAGCCTTGGGGGAGAAACCTGCAACGTTTCTGTGGTTTGTGTAGATCTTCTAAGGCCGGAGTTGGTAGCTTAAAGCGGTTACTTGGAAAGTACCGCAGGTTATTTTTGTTTGGTAGCAAGTCAGCTTGATGTATTTATTTAACTATCCTCCGTGGGTGTGGGGGGAAGGTAAGTGGGGTCTCCTTGGAGCTGAACTGGCTCCAAGGTGATATGCCTGGCAATGGAATGTCGGGATTGAGCCATCCCTCTGCGACGGTCACCTGTCCGGATCCTGAGCCAGATTCCAGGGCAGTTCTGATGACGGCCCAGCCCAGCCTGACTCATCGGCAGGATCTAGAAAGGTAGACCAGTCTTGAGGACAGGGAGTCATCCTACTCAGCTCTTGTTAACCCTGCAAGTGAAAGCCCTAACTGGTAGGGTGGTGATCCCAACTGGATGAGCAACGGGAAAGCTTGCAATATCAATGGCAAGCTGTGCAGTTTTAGCTGGTTAGACTCCAGCAGTTACCCCAACGCACACTTTGGGCTCCCCCCAAGCCTTGGCTCTTGCCAACCTGCACCTAATACTTTCTGGAATTGGTTAAGCAGGATGCCTCCCGCCAGGGAGAGAGAGTGCACATTCCATTCCAAAATCTATCTCTGGGATTTCCATGTGTAGGTGGGTTGCATGGAAATCTCAGCGTGGTTTGGAGACTCTTAAGCATAGTGATGTGTTTCTGTGTGTGTCAGACACAGGGCTAACAAACAAAATTGTCTAACAAGTGTTTAGCGAGCTGCTCAGAGCAGCAGTGGAATACGCTGAAAGGAAATCTTATTGCAAGAGTAGTTTTAAATCTTTACCATGTGTGTATCTTTGTGATAATAATAATCATAATCCTTTCACTTAATATAGTGCCTTATCACGTCTTCAGGGCGTCTCAAAGCGCTTCACAGGATATACTTTAAAGTGAATTGACTGTATATTTTGTGGACAAAACAAGGCCATCAATTGCGCACAGCAGTGAGTGTCCCACAAACAGTCCCGATGTTACCTTTGCTCTTGTGGAGCAGTCCAGAGCAGTGATTGGGTTGTTATTCTGACTGTTCTGTGACGCCGTGTGTTGGTGGCCGGCGTGTGCTGAGCGCTGGGAGCCTGCAGAGTGAGTTGATTTCAATAATAAGGCCTGTCCTTGCTGTGCTGGTTTCATCAGCTCTCCATGGGAGCCGAGAAGTGAAATTATAATAATAAATATTATCCTTCCAATTAAAAAAGGGCTTTATCACATTGTTGAACATCTCAAAGTACTTTGCAGCACATATGTGTGTGTGTATGTGTGTGTGTATATATATATATACTGTATAGTGACTGTGTATTTTGTAGACAAACCCAGCAGCCAATCTGCCAGTGTGCCACAAACAGCCATGAAGTAAGCGAATGATCAGTTTTATCCACCGGATAGATTATTGGCCTGAATTCAGTTCTTTTCACACGGGATAATGTCTCCAAGCTTACAGATACGCTGTGGATCACTGAGTGAGGTAGAACGGGTGGGTGGGGTGGGTGAAGGCACTGACCACAAACACAGACAGCGAGGGTCAGCACCTTGGGACATCCTCCCAATGTGAAAGGCACCAACAAATGTAATTTTGTTGCTGTTTGCTGTTTCAGGAGTGTTTTGAAGCCAGAGAGTGAGTGAGCAAGAGGAGCGAACGTTAACCCAAGCCTGACCCTACTGTGGGATCTTGTTTTGAATGGCTTATGCTTCTGCTTTTCCTCAGTCAGTCCGCTTTTTAATCTCAGTCGTGCTTTTTGGCAAGCCAGGAAGTGCAGACCAGCTGTTCTGTGCACTGCCTAACACCTGCTGGGTCGGAGCGGGAAGCATAAATGACCTGGTTCAGACTTCTGTCCAATACCATAGCCTCCTACCTCCGGGTGATCCAGCCCAAATCCCAAATCCCTCATGATTTCAACCTTCAGACCGGTCGGTGCCTTAAAAATTAAAATGGAGACAGAGTTGTGGCACCTTCTATTATTCGATCTTCATTTGCAAGCTGTTTTTTAACCCTTTTTAAGAACAGTGGAAAAAAAAGTTTCCAAATTAGCATCGAATTCAAGAGATTTGCCGCAAATTTGCATCAATTGTTTTAATGTTCAGACGCTTACTCTCTGTGAATGAGTAACGTTTACAGTTCTGGAGAGACAGCTGCTCTTTACCAGTAAATGTTGGTGTGTTGGGGGTTTACCATGGGTTACTCTCATCATTGTAGCTGGGTGCCAGAGGACAGAGAGATGGTTTACTATGAGTCACTCTCCTGAGTTGCCTGGTATGGGTTTTATAAACATCGATAATACTTTAACACCAACGAATACTCTCCATCCTGCAGCCCTGATTTTACACCAGGCACTCTGCATTGTACAGACTTGTTTGAAAACCATTCATCTTATTGCACTTTATCCATTGCCAATCTCAAAGAGCTTCAAGCAATTCCTGGCAAGTGTAGTGACTATAGGCAAACGTGGCAGACATTTTATGACATCAAAGTCCAAACGGGTGATATAAATTGGAGGATCGTTGGCCGGGACACAGTGTTGAAACTCCCCTTCCTTTTCCAATTGTATTGCGGCATCTTCGGCCACTAACAGTTTTGTTTTAGTCGATCAAGACTTCTGGCTTTTCTGTGATCTCCACTGCCAGTGTTTGGAGATCACAAACAATTCTAGCATGTGTATATGGTATGTATGTGTGCACCCACAACTTAGAAGCGGTATTTGCTCAAAGGTGTCCCCACTTGCCCTCTTTGACCGCACCTTTGGTCACCCTCCTACCCCCTACCCTTCCTGCCCTCCACCCCTCCTGATCCCAAGCCCCAGCTCGTGTCCAAATCCCTGATTGTCCAGAGCCTTGGACAGAACCTGTCCAGAGCCTCCCGACATGAAAGGCGCTGTGTAAATGTATATGTTGTTGTTTAACATATCGTTGAATGGGCAGGTGGGAACTGGGTTTAATGTCTCATCCAAAATACATGCTACCTCCAACAATGCAGCAATCGTGTCCTACCACCACCACCCCCCCACCCCCCAACCACAGTACTTCACTGGAGTGTCAGTGACTTGAACCTCCAACCTTCTGATCGAGAGGCGAGAGTGACTAAATGTGTCTAATTTTACTTTCTCTGTATGTTGCAGTATGATGCTGTTCCCATTCAATCCAGTGTGGTGCTCTGCTCACGCCCCTCTCCACCCATGGTGAGAACTCAGTCTGACTCCAGCACCCCGCCTGCCGTCACGGGCACCAGCATGGACAGCAGCGCGGCCCAGCCCAGGCCGGCCGTCAGCTCGTTACCGCAGGCAGCGGCACCGGCTCAACCACACGCGGGGCCGAGGCAACCGGCGGCCACACACACGCAACAATCACGGAAGAAACGGCCCGAAGACTTCAGGTTTGGCAAGATCTTGGGCGAAGGTTCTTTCTCCACGGTAAGTACGCCGCAGGCTTAATGGCGTTTCACAGCGTTTCAGCCCAGGCCAGACTTAAACAAACAAGTTGTGTGGATGTGTTCTGTTGTCAAGCCTCCCTCCCCCTGTGTTATCCGTGCTCGCTCGCACTTAATAGGTACACACTTTGGGGGCTTGTGCTGAGCTGTGACTGCTGCCATATTCGGGCTCTAAAGCACTGGACCCTAAAGTCCATTGCATCCATTTGGTGCATCCTAAAATAAAACAAAATGCTCCTCCATCGCTCCAACCTCAATCGCTTCTGTCACTAAACAGCTACTTAATTCCCTCTTGAATTTGCTGACACAGTTTGCCTCCCTGAGTAGCCAATTTCCCTATTTGCTCTCTTTTTGTCTCTCTCTCCATTCACTTATTCTTTGTCTGGCTTTATCTCTCTCTCTCTCTCTCTCTTTCTGCCTATCTCATTCTCTCTTCCCTCCTCGATGCCTCCCCCTCCCCCAATCAAATAACCTGCCGACACTGGCTGTCTGGCCTGACACAGGAAGAATGCACGCTTTAGGTTTGATTACCCGGACAGAATTTTAAGAATGCGGTTGGACCAGTTGAATGGATTTTGGATTTAATGCACATGGGGTTGTGTGCACTGCCCGTCAGACTGAGAGACCATGGCCTCAGCTGCACTTTACACAGACACCTTCATGTTCTAGCAGCTTGGGATGTTCTCCCGACGTGAAAGGCGCTGAACAAATGTCATTTATTTTGTTTGTTGTTGTTATCATGAACCAGAAATCTACTCCAGCGTTTTCCACAGATTTCAACTAAAACTCAATCCCCAACCCTCAACCCAGAACAACTGGTCATTGCCTGAAAATAATAATCCTTGCATTCGATATTGCACCTTTTCTTTCCAGCAAGATTCCAGTCTCAAAGCGCTTCAAGATTCACTGGAAAGTGTAGTGACTATGTGTTTTGAAGACAAACACATTTACAAGATAATCCTGATAATCCTTGTATTTGATCCAGCACCTATATAATGGAAATGCCTCAAAGCACTTCACAGAAAATGATTAAGTGTAGGGACTGTGAATTTGTAGAATAACACAGCAGCCAATTTGCATATAGCTGGTTCCCACAAACAGCCATGAGGTGAATGACCAATTTATCTGGGGATAAATGCCAGTGTCACTCCCCACATTGGGGTATTGTGTGCCATGTGTTAGCCCTCAGCCAACACGCGTGTTATGCCCCATGTGAAAACACGTGTGTACAGAGGGAATTACAGCTGGCTTTAATAATTAAAGGATCTGTGTATTTAACACAGTACTTATTTGTTGCAGTGAAATGTTGGTGTGTGTGGTGTCTCGCTGACCCCCGGCTCTGTTTGTTTGCAGGTTGTGTTGGCGCGTGAGATTACCACTGGGAAAGAATATGCCAGTAAGTGACCGCGTTCCTCCTCCCCTCAGTCCCTGGTCAGTTTCTAATCAGATGTCCAGAATGGGGTTAGAGTTCAGTTCAGTGTTGGCAGCAGTACACAGCAGAGCACACAGCAGAGCGAAGTACTTGACTTTACCCACACTCCTGAGGTGCCAGCGTCATGACGAGATTGGAGCCGTGTGTAACCCCTCAGCCCACACGTGCGTTATGCCCTGTGTGAAAATGTGTGTGTACACAGTGAATTACAGCTGGTTTCAATAATAGTAAAGAATTCTTGTATTTGATAAAGCACCTTTTTGTGTCGTCAAGACGTCTCAAAGTGCTTCAAATGATTAGGCTTTTAATGACGCTGTTAACCAATGACGAGGCTGCTGGTAGTGGGAACCTGTTCAGAGAAAGGGTTAAATGCTGTTCGTGTTAGCCAAGGTGAAGATGTTATTGACTGGATTGAAACACTGGGAGAACAGATGTGACCCCAAAAGGGTGACTCCTCTCCCCTTTAATAATAATAATCCTTGCAATTGATATAGCGCCTTATCTCGTCTTCGAGACTTCTCAAAGCGATTCACAGAATATACTGCAAAGTGGAGCGACTGTATATTTTGTGGGCGAAATGCGGCAGCCAATTACGGACAGCAGTGTCTCACAAACAGTCGTGGATTGAGTGACCACATTTTTTTTGTTGAAGGGCTTATTACCCCAGAAAGCAATTCACCAATCGACTAACAACTGGGTTCCTGCTTACTGCTAGGTAAACAGAGGAGTGTGGAGTGAGGAAACTTGCCTAAGGTTTTGCCCTGCCCGGGAATCAAGCCTAGGTCCTCTCGCTTGCGAGGCAAGCTCTCTAACCACTGAGCTACAGGACTCCATATAACCACCCTGTTCTAAGCTGAGGCGTTGTGGGTTGGCGCTCTCACTAAGTGCTGCTTTCTTTCCTCTGTAGTTAAAATCCTGGAGAAGCGACACATCATCAAGGAGAACAAGGTGCCATACGTGACCAGAGAGCGGGACATTATGTCACGGCTGGATCAGCCTTTCTTTGTAAAACTCTACTTTACCTTTCAGGATGATGAAAAGCTCTGTATCCTTCCTGTTCCTGTCCGGAAACTCGGCCAAATCCGTCAAGTTCAGATACCCACGGCTTGTGCTCAGGTTGTACAACTGGTCTATCCACACCTGAGTACTGTGTCCAGCTGTGCTCACTAACATCTGGAATACTGTATACACTTCTGGTCACTAATTACCTGGAGTGTACCTGGAGTACTGTGTCCAGCTGTGGTCACTAACACTACTGTGTCCAGCTCTGGTCAGGTCATGTCAAGTTAAGGCTCTTCAGTCTTGACAAGAGGTGTCTAGAGGGATCTTCTGGAAGTGTATAAAATGCTAAATGAGATAAAGTGCATCCAGAACAATACTCTCCGATATCCTGAGAGATTTTTCCATTGCGGGTATTCAATGCTCTGTCTGGACCTGTTTGTGTGCTGTACAGGAGACCAGACCTTGGTCCTTAACGTGAATTCAGATTTTGGCCTCAGCTATGCTAAAAATGGAGAGCTGCTCAAATACATTCGGAAGCAGGGCTCGTTCGATGAGAACTGCACACGATTTTACTCTGCTGAGATCGTCTCAGCACTAGAATACTTACATGGGATCGGGATTATACACAGGTAAGGATCAGAGCTGGTTTTACTGTCCTGCTTGTGAGAGGGGCTGATTATCAGGTCAATGGCTCACGGCCCCAGTCGCAGCTCCATAAAGTGGGGATCCCACAGTCCTACCTCATGCAATGTGCAAAGCAGAACGTCACAGAGATTGTGAGTAGGTAGCAGTGTTTAAAAGGGAAACAGATAAGGTAGTTGTTGGTAGGCTGTTTCCACCGGTTGGTGAGTCCAAAACGAGAGGGTATAAATATGACAGCCAGTGGAAGAGCCAACAGGGAGTTTAGGAGGAACTTCTTCACATAAGAGGATGGTGAGAATGTGGAAGTTGCTGCTGGAAGCTGGAGCAAAATACCTTAATATATTTAAGAATACACAATCCTACAAAGAGGGAAGCATAGTAGAGGGGGGAATGGGAGAGGTGGAGGATAAACACCACATGGACTTGTTGGGCTGAATGACCTATTTCCGTGTGGTTTCCCTCTGTATAATTATATGAATGGCCGCCTGTTTCTTTAAAGAAAATTACTCCGCCACTTATCCCGGTGTCAGCATTGCCCCTACGCCACAATTCCCCCTTAAAGGTCGTGTGTAGGCCGTGGCTTGCTCACTGTACAGGAAAGCTATTGTATTGTCTTATGTCCACATCATTTTTTTGGAGGCATTTTCCACCTCCCCAGACCGGTGCCCCACCTCCCCTCACCTCGCTCTCACCCTTTGTAATCCCCACAGCAAAGAGCAGATTCCCAGCCGCTCAGTGTAGTCAGTCCATCTGTATGATAATAATCCTTGCGTTTGATATAGCGCCTTATCACATCGTCGAGACTTCTCAAACACTTCACAGAATATACTGTAAAGTGATTGGGCAAAACACAGTGTCCCACAAACAGTCATAGATTGAGTGGTCTTTTTTGGGGGGAGGGATTATTACTCCTAGAAAGCAATCCGCCAATCGATTAACAACTGGGTTCCTACTTACTGCTAGGTAAACAGAGGCATGTGGAGTAAGGGAACTTGCTTATGCTTTGCTCCGCCCATGAATTGAACCTGGATCATCTCACTTGTAAGGCTTGTGGTTTAACCACTATATTACAGGGACCAGAACCATTAGCCACAAAAGGGATAGACTCAGCAGCTGCAACTAACCTTTTCTGCTGTACCTCTTACAGGGACCTTAAACCGGAGAATATTTTACTCAGTGAGGACATGCACATTCAGATCACAGATTTTGGAACAGCAAAAGTATTGCCTTCAGATACTACACAAGGTGAGCGCCCACTCTCAGTGACCAGTCATTCTCCAAGCCACGAACAGCCAGCCAGAGACCCAGAGTCCGGCATCGGAGAAGTTTAGAGCACGGGAACATAGGAATTGCTGGAGGAAAAAAGACCGAAGACCATCTGGTTTGCCTTCTTACCATCCTGGCAGTCGCTTCCTACAATAATGGAGCTATTGTTGATAGCAATTAATTCTGTTTGGATTAGCCTACAACACAGTGGAAAGTTTTGGGAACCTTAGATTGAAAAGTTTCCTTGGTTCTTCCAAGCCATACTACACTAAATAGCCATCCTGTCCTCGCCAGCTCTCAGGGAAATTCTCCTTTTATTCTCAGGAGTTGATGCGGTGCAGGGATGGTGGGAGTGATTTGCAGAGGGTGGGTGGTGGGGTGGGGGCTGACAGTGGGGAGTGAGGAACCTGCAGTAAGGTGAGGGAGGGCAGGACAGTCGGGTTGGAGGAGATTATGGATGTGGTGGGGTGGGGGGGTAAATTCCCAGCCGGAGCTGGCTTTTGGAGCTCACTCCCTGTAAAGACGTGGGTTAACCCTGTCAGTGCCAGGCAAGCGAGGGCTCCCAGTGGGTGCTGTGGTTGATGGGCTCTTGTTTGTTTATATTTTTGCAGCACGAGCAAATTCCTTTGTGGGAACGGCACAGTACGTCTCCCCTGAGCTGCTGACTGAGCAATCTGCCTGTAAAAGGTAATGGTATGCCCTGCGACCTGGTCTCTCCGCTCTCACACCATCCTGTCCAACTCCTCTGGGAGTTCACATCAGCTCCTGTACTGCAGGAATCAGCAAGTCCGGCACAGAGGGACCTTTTACAGTGTAAAAGGCTGTTTGGCCCATTCCCTGTGTAAACTCTGGGCCTTCAGTCCCACTCTATACTCTCTTGTAGGTTTAAGTGCAATGGGACGCTATCCTGAGAGGCGCTATATAAATGCAAGTTCTTGTTATAGATTCACTTTTGAAAGCTATGATGGATTCCCTCTTTATTCTGTCCCTGACGGTTTTTAAAGGCAGTCGTTGCTCCCAGCGCTTGTTGAGTGATTGTCTGGGGAGGGGGATTCTGCTGGGATCGTCCCTGATCGAGCACTAGCACTGGGTTGGGGGGTAGAGAGCTCTCTCTGTCACAAGGGAGTTGTGGCTATGGCCACCAGGAGACGCCCAACATCTAATTGAGTCACTTCATTCCTGTCCCTTCCTGTGAGAAAGCACCTGACACCCCGCCCCCAGCCCATAGCATAGGGCAGATGCTTCACTTGACCTGTGGCATAGCGTGTTCCCCACCTCAACTTACTCCTAAAGCGTGGCAGCTGATTGTAACATTTCTTTTGAATTAATTGTAAAGATTCCACCCTTTGGATCTCCATCCCACAGTCACCCTCTCCTCCCAACCCTCCCTGCCTTCCACCCCTCCGATGTCAAACCCCAGCTCGGGTGCAAACCCTTCACTGTCCAGCGCCTTGGGACATCCTCCCGACGTGAAAGGTGCTGTGTAAATGTCATTTGTGTTGTTGTTAATGAACATTGTGTGTGTGTGTTTTGTCGCCCTGCAGTTCTGACCTCTGGGCTCTTGGCTGTATTATATACCAACTGGTTGCTGGGCTGCCACCATTCCGAGCTGGGTAAGCCTTGATCCCGAGTTCCCATCCCAGCTCCCTGTGGCAGCATTTTAATTCCAGGAAAAGGCTGAGCTTCTCGTTAAAAGTGGAGAGTGACCGGCTGAAGGGAACAGCTTAGCTGTGAGCCAGGGCAGACCGGAGGCCTCTGCAGTGTCAATGCCTCTGATTCTGTCAGGTTGGAGGCTGAGGTCAGCGAGCAGCTAACTCCTGCCCCGGCTGAGACCAGCTGACGCAGTGCAGGCCGAGAACAGAGCTTGGAAATTTCCTGGTCTGTAGCTCAGTGTCGTTCACACCAAACTAACTGACGAGTGGGGAGAAGGGGGAGGCAGATAGAGTCATGGTACAGACAGACAGCTGGCGGTGAGGCCCCAGCCCTGTCTGACCCACTGTGGATTCCAAGCACTCAGTCCTGCCCGGAATCTCTGACATCTTCACTGAATCCTTCAATTAGTGGAGCAGCAGGAAGTGCCCTGACCTTCATCACTTGTTTGTTTCTAGCCCCTCAGGAATGACGAGCAGGTCACAGGCCTCTTCAGCTGGTTACAGTCTAACCCGGTGACGGTGATGAGCTGCTCAGTTACTGGCAGTTATTTCACACCATTTTTCCATCAATATTTTCTCTCCTCTCCCAGAGGGGTGACATTTTACCTCTTACCCTCTCCCTCACAACTCGCCCCCCACCTCCCCCAAATCACAATTCCCCCCCCCTGAATGGCCTCCTGCTGTTCCTATATATATATATATATAATATATATATAATATGTTCCTTGACACTTGTCTAAAGTCTCTCACATCAAGGGGATGTCATCCACTGCTTCACACTTGGCTGAAGACAGGGGTGGGGAGAGCTGGCTTACAGCCCGGGTTGAAGATAGGATTATGAGGTGGGCTGTGTGGGTGCTGTTCGAGGGCGGGGGTGGCATTGCGCAGCTGAGCGGGATGTGTATCCTCAGCGCCTGCTGATCACTTCTCTTCCCACAGAAACGAGTATCTGATATTCCAAAAGATCATTAAGTTGGATTACGAATTCCCCGAGAAGTTTTTTCCAAAAGCTAAAGATTTAGTAAAGAAGCTTCTGGTAAGTCATTGGGGTGGGGGGCCGTGGCACAACCTTACATCTCATCCAGTCCATACTTATTACAAGTTATACTGTAAAGTGAATCTGTGTGATGTAGGCAAACCCGGCAGCCAGTTTGCACACAGCAATGTCCCACAAATAGTCAGGATGTGACTTTGCTCTGATAGCCATGTGCAGATTTTAAGTGGATTTTATCTGTGGGATTGTCAGCCAGGATTTTATGTAATTCAATGAGGGCAGGTGATGGGGGTGGGGGGATTGTCCCACACTGGGGTGTGGGGGGGAGGAGAGGTGGGGTATGTCGACTGGGGAAGGAGGGAGGGAAATCGAATGGGAGGATTTGTTTCACTTGTTAAAAAATAACGAACTTGTATCAGCTTGACGTTAATTCTGGACTAAACTCTTCCCCACTCCCTCCCTGCCTTCCCCCCTCCTTTCACCTCCTCCCTTCACCATCTGCTCCCTCTTCCCCCCCCACGCCCCTCCAATTCCAGGTGTTGGAGCTCACGAAGCGTCTGGGCTGTGAAGAGATGGGGAGCTACACACCCCTCAAAGCTCACCCATTTTTCGAGGCAATATCCTGGGAGAATCTTCACCTCCAGACGCCTCCCAAGCTCACCGCTTACCTGCCAGCCATGTCCGAGGACGACGAGGATTGCTATGGCAATGTGAGTGCCCCCAGAGCGTGTTGCTCTGGTCGCTGTGAGGTCCTCCCGGGGCAAGGCTTTGGGCGGGAGTTTGTGTTCCAGTAAGAACATAAGAATTTTCTGGCGAAAGAAGAGCAAGGTCCATCCAGTTCACATTCCACGATCCTGGCAGTTGCTTAACAGGTTGTGTCCCAAACTATATACTGTCTGCCCAGATATTATTCCCCAACAGAAATCTGTCTCATTTGTTCTGGAAACAAACAACACTTTCTGCTTCCACCATCTGACCAGAGCTGACGTCTCCCTCTCTCTCCCTCCCTGCAGTACGATGATCTTCTCAGCCAGTTTGGTTGTATGCAAGTGGCCCCCTCGATCTCCACACAGTCGCCGTCGCCCCCAGAGCCCAGCCCCCCCCAGCGCTCGGACAGCAACATCGAGCAGTACATCCACGACCTGAACGACAACTCTTTCGAGCTGGACCTGCAGTTCACAGAGGAGGACAAGAGGCTACTGCTGGAAAAGCAGGCCAACAGAAACCCGTGGTAGGGGCTTCAGCCTCCCTCTTTCCCTCCGTCCTCACACACTCCGTCTCTCACTTCGGCCTCGCACACACCACTCTCCCTCCTTCATCCTCACACACTCCCTGCGTGTTTGTTTACAATCTGGAGTAGACAAACAACCAGTTGGAGCAGGCAGTCTAACCCTGCCTTATTATAGAAAGAGGAAACACTGGTTCTATGGGATTGTGACCTGAAATCTGAAAAGTTATCTCCAAATGAAGTGGCCATTAGCTGCTGCTGTCTGTTACACACTCAAGAGTCGCTGGTAACTGAGGACTTTTCTTTTCAAGGCACCAGTTTGTAGAAAACAATTTAATTCTGAAGATGGGGCCAGTTGATAAAAGAAAGGTACGTGACTGCTAACTGTCCCCGGTCGGGAGGGTGTGGGGGGGTAAATATCTGTGATAAATCTGCGTAGTGTGTCTTTCTCTGACTGTGTCTGTGCCCCTCTCTCTCTCTTTTCTCTGACTCAGTGTGTGCATGTCAAAGTTTTAAATGAAAGCACTAATTACACTTTTAATTTGATTAACAAATGATTCAATATTAATTACTCGGTTAATGATTCAACTCGTAGAAAGAGGGCATTCAGCCCATCGTGCCTGTGCCAGCTCTTTGGAAAGCTACCCACTCCCCTGCTCTTTCCTCATTTTTTTGCAAATTTATTCTTTCTAAGTACCTGTTGATTGAGTTAATTGCTTAATTTACCGATGATTCAATTAACTGTAATTTACTTCTTTAAATCTTTAATTTCAAGGTTAAACTCTTGTTAAAAGCATTAGAGCTGGAGCCGGTATATCTTAATGTTTAAGAGGGAACAGGAGCTTCTGCTCCCCAACCCCGGCTCTCGGCCCAGCCCCGAAGCGCGTGGCCGTGCGTTCCCCTCCCCCAGGGCTGTGACTGTGTTTCTGTTCCTAGGGCCTCTTTGCCCGGCGTCGGCAGCTACTGCTCACCGAGGGACCTCACCTCTACTACGTGGATCCCGTCAACAAGGTCCTGAAAGGCGAGATTCCCTGGTCCCAGGAACTGCGCCCAGAGCCCAAGAATTTCAAAACCTTTTTTGTTCATACAGTAAGTCCCAGCATTACAAACCGGGCAATGTTAAAGGCTAAAGGGGGAGAGAGAGCAGGGAATGGGGTTAGAGTAGAGAGCTCCAGTGGGGGAGCGATCCCCAGCACAGACACGATGGGGAGAGAGTGAGCAGGAAATGGGGGTTAGAGTAGAGAGCTCCAGTGGGGGAGCGAGCCCCAGCGCACACACGATGGGGAGAGAGTGAGCAGGGAATGGGGGTTAGAGTAGAGAGCTCCAGTGGGGGAGCGAGCCCCAGCACAGGATGGAGTTGAAGTGTGGGCGGGAGGGGTGGGTTCGTGGGTGTGAGAAGGGAGCCTTGTTGTGGCCAAGCCTGGGTGTGGTTGTGAGTCAGAGGGTGTGTGCGAAGGACACTAACTGTGGCTATCTCCTGCCTTGTGCCTTCAGCCTAACCGGACATATTACTTAATGGATCCCAGCGGCAACGCCCACAAATGGTGCCGGAAGATCCAGGAGGTTTGGCGACGGCAATACCAGAGCGTGTAGAGCCATGCCGCGTCCAGCATCGGCAGCCAGGCCTCTGCCCCGCCGCCCTGGACTGGCCAGCCATCTCGCTGTGGCGCGGCAACAAGAGACCTCCCTCCCCTGGCCCACACGGCCCTTCCCCTGGCCCACACGGCCCCTCCCCTCACTCCTCCCACAACAAATGACCTGCGATATGGGAGCAGAGGGAAAGCTCCAAGCTGTTTTATTTTTCCTCCTCTCCAGATGAACACGAGTGTAATCCAGGCTTTGCCCCCGGCTCTCTGCTTTTTGTTGAGGCTTCTGCACCCACCCCACCCCCACTCACCTGCGTGCGTTGGAGGCTTGGGAAGCCCCAACTCCAAGCAGGGCTTCCCAGTGACCCATCCCTCTCCTTCACGCTCACAAACAACCCATTCCATTTCCCCACGTCCCCGCTCGCTGTCACCGCCGGGGGAGGAGCGGAGTGTCTGCAAGTTTCTGTGTTAAGTTATTTAAGAGCCTCTTTGCCATCGCCATGACACCCCGAGTGGCTTCCCTTCAGTTGCGCTGACAGCAGGTTTACAGTAGTGTGTACGTACACAGGTGCTCATTTGCGAGCACGTGCAACCCCTCCCCGCCCTCTCCCCCCACACTCCCCGATCCAGTCCCCCTTCTCCTGTCCGAGTAAACGGGGAATAGCTGGAGTGCGACTGAGCGCAGATTAAACTCCGTATCCCTCGGAATGAGCTGCTGCCGATGTGGAACGTTCCAGACCAACTCCGCGTCCGTGCCACAGTGTTTCCGGAGCCGTGACCTCTCCCTGCGAAGACGAGGGGAGTAGCCGGGGCCAGGCCCGGAGAGTGGGGGCGATGGGTGGGCGGGGGAATTAGACAGCCCAAGATGGTGAGATTAAATGTCAGACATCCCGAGCATTCCTTCAGGAGCCAGGTCCCAGGGGCTCTTGGCTCAGATGTATACGCTTGAGGTACATTGGGGGTCTGTGAGTATGCGTGAGTGTTGAGTGTGAGGCTCCCCAGCGGGGGGGAAGTGGCAGGGTTGCCTTTGCTCTATGCCACTTGTCCACTTTACACAGGGAGGAGAGGGGGGCAGGACTGATTGGTGGGTCAGACTATCTCCGAGATCTGCTTCCCAGTATTCCCGGGTTTGTTGTGTCTTAAGGTGGGTGGTGTCTGGATCGGTGGCTTTTTAATGTTAAACAACATTAAGAGCCACAACACAAGAGACTATCAATGGCTTGTGGTGAGGTGCTGGGCCCCAGAGAGAAGGCTGTGGAGGGGTGGGGGGGATCTATCTTAAGTTCCAGCCCTCCCAGTATCAGTAAGTCGCTGGGAACACTCATCAGGTCAGGCAGCATCTATGGAGAGAAGGGATTTGAATGCAAGGACCCTTCCGGGTCCTTCTCTCTACAGATCCCTTCTCTCCATAGATGCTGCCTGACCTGCTGAGTGTTTTGTTTCAGATTTTGCCATCAGTGGTGGTTCATGGGTCTATGGAACCCAATAAGATTGGGAGTGTCTCCACCCAGTGGCCCAGGAGGTAATGACATGTAGAGCAGGCAGTAACAGTTATCAGTCCCCAACTCTGTGCTCAGTCACTGATCTCAGCCCTTGGGTGTGTGTGTCTCGGGAGTGGGGGGGTGTTGGGGGCAACAGTCTGTTCTCAGTCACTTGCCCCCCCCTCTTGCTGAAGTGTGTGCCTGCAGGGTTGGGGGGTGGGCTGTAAATAGCTCATCAACCCTCGCTGTCAAGACACACCGATTAGCAATGGCAGCACGGGGTGGGTGGGGGGTGGGGTGAGGGGACTGGCCACTTACACAAGAGGGTTTCCCCCAGGGGACTGGGCCACCAGTCAGTGAGTGACACATCACCTGTGGGACCAGGATACAAATTCCGTGCAGCCTGATCTGAACATGGGCTGGATTGTGGTGGGGTGTGGAGAGGAGCATTGAATTGGCACCAAATATCTACAATGGGCTGAGGGGTTCTCTGATTGACACTGAGGATCGTTCTGCTTCAAGTAAATGAAACATTGACTGACCTGGGCTGCCATTATTCCGCACCCCTGTAGGGAGTGGCCTCTGTGTGTGTGTGTATGTGAGGGGGGTGGTGGGTGGGGGTTGTATACAGATTAGGTTCTCTCGAAATCACTGATGTTCAGATTGTTTATGATTGAGAGTCGAGCGGCATCTCTAACCCGCTGACCTGGACATGCTCAGTGCTGCTGCCTCCTGTTGAAGATAATTTGTGTTTGGTCAAAGAGATGGGGTTTATACCTCTCCGGTGGGGGTGGGGGGCTTCCTGGGGGGGTGGGGGGTAAATTCACGGCCAGTAGATTAATTGAGCAATACACTGAAGAGATCACAGGGTATATTGGTAAGGGAACAGAATTAGTGCAGGTTGGCAGTAAATCGCTTCTCTTGTGAAGTCTATGTGTATCTCTATTCAGTGTCCAGTGTCAGGTGTTAGAGAAGTTCTGTAAATCGATCGCCGGTGTGTGGGCTCTCTGGCTGGGCGTCCTTTTATTGACGGAGGAGCGATCGACTGTGCGCCTCCCCTGGGTTTGCCTCAGTTTGTCTGTCGGGGGCCGGTGAGTGCTGGGCAGAGGCAGGCGTTTGCAGCCTGGTGAAGGCCGAGCGGATCATTTCCCCGGCTGGTCGACGTGTCTCGGGGCTGCCTGAACGCTTACACTAACCCGGCAGTCTCCAGCTCGCACATGGTTCTCGACCACCAGTTACAGTGACAGCTCAAAGCGGGGCACTGGCCACAAGCCCTTTCCTCCTGCCCAGTCACCATGTGGCTCAGCTTCCTGCCCTCACACAGCACATCACCGTATGACAAACCCCAGGAACAAGGCCAAGCCCTGGACTATTCAGCCTCTTAACCGCTGGGGGCCTGGCCTGAGCTGAGGGGCCTGTGTGTGGCTGTCTCCCTCCCGACACGATTCCAGAGACCAGTATCCACAATGAGAGCTAGAAATCATGATTGTTTCTTTCGACAGAGATGAGGAATTTCTTTCCCCTTCAACTCTCCCCTTAGCCCCCCTCTCCCCTCTGCCCTCCCCAGTCTCTCGCTTGCATGCTTCTTCCTAGGGGTTGTGTGATCGTCGTAATGGGTAACATTCTGTAAGATTCCCCGCTGGCCTCCCACCCATAGGCCCCGATGTACAGACAGCGAAGAGATGCTGACAGACATCTGAAGCAAGCAATGCAATATATTAGGGGACACGATTCGTGTTTTTTTTTGTATTTTTATTCTTGTATAAGGTGATTTGCTGGCTAATAGTAGCCTGTAGTTCAGTCTGTGTTATTTAAATTCTAATATATGAATTATATTTGGATTTAATTCATGTTCAGGGCCAATGTGTGTATGTGTTTGAAATGTACAGCCTTTGAATATGAATAATTATTGTAAACTATAATATTTTATGACTTTGTTTTCCAGCTTTATTATATAAATTTTCTATTTGGTCAATGATTTTAATCATATTTCTCATAATTTAATGAACCTGTTATATTTCTCTTTCCAAATATTTGTGCTTAGATGTAGCTCTCAATTATTGAATTCCCCACACGATGCTTGATAGTCCTGTAATTAAAGCATGTAGGTTGTAAGCGTACAAAAGCTACTGTTTCTCTGTCTTGCTTTGCTTCAGCTCCTGTGTCCTGGCTGGCACCAGTGGATCTGCCCACACACCTTCACCCAGAGAAACACAACTTGCTATTCACTGACCAGAAGCCGTGAATGAAACCAAACACAATTGTCTTGCCCTCACTAAGCCTGCCAGGGCAACAGTGAAGCCGTGACAATTGACACCGGTGCCCTCCTCTACGCCAGGCTAAGAGGGAGCAGGGAGAAACCAGCCAGACTTGCTGATCAGTAGCTGCCCACTGACATGCACCCCCTGCACATGTCAACAACTCTCACCCCAACGTCCGTGTCTTCCGATTGGGGTAGTCGGGCTGATTTGTTTTTCAGTTCATCGCCATGAGTAAGTGTATCCAAACCAGAGAGTCCTGTAGCTCAGTAGTTAGAGCACTCGCGTTGTAAGCGAGAGACCTGGGTTTGATTCCCAGCAGGGCGAAACCTTGGGGAAGTTTCCATATTCCACACGCCTGATAATAATCCCTCCCTCAAAAAAAAATTGGTCGCTTCAATCCAACACTTTGGGACGCTGCTGTGCGCAATTGGTTGCCGTGTTTCGCCTACAAATATACAGACAGTTCACTTTACAGTCTTCTGTGAAGCGCTTTTGAGATGTCTAGAAGACATGAAAAGCGCTATATCAAATTATTATTATTAGAGTATGTCACTTACATATGATATAATCGTTGAATTTTATATCACCTTATAATCTTGTCAAGACATCTCAAAAGAATTACTGTAAAATGCAGTAACTATTTTGTAGATGAACGTGGCAGCCCATATGCACACAGTGATGTCACGCAAACAACTACAACAACAAGATTACATTTGTATAGTGCCTTTCACATCGGGAGGACGTCCCAAGGCGTTGGACAGTGTACAGCATTTCAGTCCCGAGCTGGGGTAATGGGGGGGAGGGGAAGGTGGGTGGCCAATGGCATGGTTGAAGATGAAAGTCTTGAGGCAGGACTTGAAGGAGGCTAAGGAAGGAGTGAGGCGGTGTGACTGGGGGATGGAATTCCAGAGGTTGGGGGTAGAGTGATTGAAGACTCTCCCGCCAATGGTGGGGCGGGTGGGTTGGGGGACGTGGAGCAGGCCGGAGCCGGCTGAGTGGAGGGAACAGGCGGGTTGGTAGGGGGTTAGGAGGTCGCAGAGGGAGGGTGGGGCGAGGCCATGGAGGGCTTTGTATGTGGACCAGGATCTTGAACTGGATCTTCTGAAGGATAGGGAGCCAGTGGAGTCGGGCGAGAATGGGGGAGATGGGGTCACGGAGTGCGGGAGAGGACACGGGCTGCAGAGTTCTGGATTATCTGTAGCCTGTGGAGGGAGGAGATTGTAAGGCCGACAAGCAGGGCGTTTGCATAGTTGAGCCTGGAGGTGATGAAGGCATGAACAAGAGGTGGAGGGAGAGATAGGGTCGAAGGAGTATAGGGGGGGATGGGTGGGGGTGAGTTATGAGGGTGAGGTGATGTGGGGGTGGCTGTGGACGGGGCTGAGGTGGCTGAACATATCCCCTCGATTATAGATTCTAGCAAGTCCAGCATCTCCTCGCAGTTGGAGTTTGAGGAGAGGATGGGCGAGGTATGGGAAGGTGATGGAGGAGACTGTTAGTGGTGGAAAAGAGAAGCCTGGGGTTGTCCTTTGCCTCCAAGATAACCTTGGAGTAGAAGGAGGATTTGGCAGAGACAAGTGCGCAGCAGTAGGTCTTGGTGTGGTGAAGCCAAATCTGCCGATGGACCATTAGTTTGGATTTGATCCAGGTGCGTTCGGCAGCTCGCACTTGTGCCTTGAGGGAATGGAGATGGCTGGTGTACCAGGGGGATTTACGGGAGTATGAGGCAGTTCGGGTGGTGAGGGGGGCAAGGGAGTCCAGAATAGAGGAGAGAGAGTTGGGGAGAAAGGAGAGTGAGGAGGAGGGATCGGTCAGTGAGGGCCAGAGGTGTAGGAGTTCAGATGACTCCAGGGCAGAGGAAAGGGAGAGGGAGGAATTTTTTTTCTATGGACGATATGTAATGGTGGAGGGTTGGGAAAGGGAAAGGGGTACTGAGGTGTTGAGGGAGATGAAGTGGTGGTCCGAGATGGCTTTATCGACGATGGTGATGTCCGAGACGGTGAGGCCCCGGGTGATCACCAGGTCAAGGGGGTGGCCACGGACGTGGGTGGGGGAGTGGATGAGGAGGGAGGAGAAGTAGGCAGAGGTAGAGCAGGAGGGGGTGAAGTGGAGGTTGAAGTTGAACTACAAAGGACTAATTAATTTTATTTGGGGATTGTGCTGAGTACTGTGGACAGTCTGGCTCAGGAACTGGACTCCTGAGACCGCCACGAAGAGTTGCCTTGACTCTGACCTGCGGCCAGGCATCTGGAAGCAGCCGAGCTCCTAAAGCTCCAGAAATAGGAGACCCTGACTTGCCTGAACTTACAACATGCTGCCAGCAGATGGCGGTAACCTTCCATCATGGAAGTGAACCAGTAGTTCTTTTTATAAGTTCAATTACCATAAATAATAATAATCTGCAATGGGCGCAGCGCCCGATCACATCGTCAAGACGTTTCAAAGTGCGACGCTGAATATACTGTAAAGTGCAGTGACTGGATTTTGTGGGCGAATGTCACCAGTTGCCACCGACAAGTTACTTTTAATAGATACAGTGAAACTAAAGTCTGATCTGTATAAATCATATCACCTAGTTTGTACATCTGCCCAAGTCCCGTTCAGGAGTTTATATTCAATGCAAGTTTGAGATGAGTCATATTAACTGTATGGTCCCAACTGGTACGACTTCCGTGAGGTTTACTGTCCAACTCATTAACCGGGCCACAGTGTAACACCATGAAATGCAGGTTTAAACATCTTTTTGATAAAAAACATAATTGCATCACAAACTGATTATAACCTCAAAGGATGAGGAATCCCATCAGGATCTTTCATCTGAGGTGGGGTCACAGTCTGGGGTCACTGTCCTAAAATTCAGGGCAAGTCCTTTCATACTGAGTTGAGGAAAAACTTCTTCACTCAGAGGGCAGTGAATTTATGGAATTCTCTACCCCAAAGGGCTATAGATGCTCAGTCCTTGAACATAATCAAGACTGAAATTGATAAGATTTCTTGTGGATAAAGGGATTAAGGGATATGGGGATAAGGTGGGTAGGTGGAGTTAGAATAGATCAGCCATGATCTTATTGAAGACTAGAGGAGCCGAATGGCCTACTCCTGCTCCTAATTCTTATGTTTTATGTTCTAAAGTTACCAGGGATCACAAGATTGGTTGGGATGAAGAAGGTTCTTCAACTCATATGATCGCCCTCATCCAGAGAACCCCCCCGTTTTTTTTAATGAGTCCAGCGTCCTGGATACGAATGAACTGTAAATGTCTAGTTTATCATCTAATCCTAAAAGCTGCCCGAATAATTCATCAGTGAGTTATGCTGTGGGAGAGCCTCCCAGATCAGGCGGCTAAATCGTGAGAGGCACAATGATTCATTTTGGTACAAAAAAATGGGAGTGTACATCGAATGGCCATGTCTGGGAAGGACCAAATGGATTTAGGAGTGCAAGTGCACAGCTCATTGAACATGGTATTGCAAGTTACAAAGGCTGGAGGGCGGGGTACAGGCCGGGGAGAGGTTGGGGGTGGGGGTGGGAGGAGGGTTTGGGGGTAAAGTGTGTATGGGCTCTGGGGCCAAATTGCCTACTCCCAATTTGTGGGTTTCCAACATCACAACAACAACATGATTGCATTTACAGAGCGCCTTTCACGTCGGGAGGACGTCCCAAGGCGCCGGACAGTTGGGTCAGGACTCGAGCAGTGGGGGAAATGGTCAGGGGGAGGGGAGGGAGCGAGGAGGGGGGAAATGGTCAGGGTGAGGGGAGGGAGTGAGGAGGGGGGAATGGTCAGGGGGGAGGGGAGGGAGGGAGGAGGCGGGAATGGTCAGGGTGAGGGGAGGGAGGGAGCGAGGAGGGGGGGAGCGAGGAGGGGGGAATGGTCAGGGGTAGGGGAGGGAGGGAGCGAAGAGGGGGGAATGGTGAGGGTGAGGGGAGGGGAGGGAGGGAGTGAGGAGGGGGTGAATGGTCAGGGTGAGGGGAGGGGAGGGAGGGAGTGAGGAGGGGGGGAATGGTCAGGGTGAGGGAAGGGAGGAGTGAGGAGGGGGGAATGGTCAGGGTGAGGGGAGGGGAGGGAGGGAGTGAGGAGGGGGGAATGGTCAGGGTGAGGGGAGGGGAGGGAGGGAGTGAGGAGGGGGTGAATGGTCAGGGTGAGGGGAGGGAGGGGGAGGGGGGGGGAGGGGAGGGGAGGGAGGAGGAGGGGGGGGAATGGTCAGGGTGAGGGGAGAGGAGGGGAGGGAGTGAGGAGGGGGGAATGGTCAGGGTGAGGGGAGGGGGGGAGTGGAGGAGGGGGGGGGGAATGGTCAGGGTGAGGGGAGGGGAGGGAGGGAGTGAGGAGGGGTAGAGGATCGAGAGGGGAGCTGAAGGCACAGCTGACGAGAAGACATATTTTTGCCCAAACACACAGTCACTACACTTCACAGTGCGTCCTGAAGCACATTGTGATGCCTCAACCAAGTGCTAAGTCACTGTGTGAGGATATTATTGTTATTGCTGCTGTTATTGTTGTGATGGTCAGGTTTTGCCAACCACTTCCGCCTGTCTCCCGCTCCCTGACGCCATTTCCGGAGGTAGCCGTTGCGCCCCGCCCCCTGTGTTGCTGTTTCCGGTTCCGGCTGGCGGGCGGGCGGGCTGGCAGTTGGGCGCGCGGGGGGGGGTGGGGGGCTGATGGCGGACGGTGGCGGCGCGGAGGCCGGGCCCGGGCCCGGGGGGAGAGGTCCAGCGCGAGGCCGCGGCTCCGACAAGTGGGTGCGGCTGAACGTGGGCGGAACCCGCTTCCTGAGCACCCGCCAGACCCTGGGCCGCGACCCCAGGTCCTTCCTTTACCGACTGTGTCAGGCCCAGCCCGACCTGGACTCCGACAAGGTACCGGCCCCGGGGACAGGGCGGGGGGCGCGGGGGGCCCCCGAGTCAGTGAAGGAGACAGGCCCTGTGCCCGCGCGGGCAGGTGCTTGTGTGTCTGTGGGAGAGAGGCCCCGGGTCTCGGGGCTTTGCTCGGGTGGGGGTCGGGGCCGGTGTTGGTTGGCGGCCATATTGAATGCTCTGTCTCTCGGTGAGTTGCTGAGCAGCGGCATCGCACGGCGGGAAGGGTTGTCTTGTCTCAGACAAGAGAAAAGGCCTCGATCACAAAGGTAACAGCTGTAACGGTGTCAGTCAGTGCCCAATGCTCTCTCTCTGGGGTCCTGTAGCTCAGTAGTTGGAGCCCTCGCGAGCGAGCGAGAGGACCCGGGGTTTGATTCCTGGGTGGGGGCGAGTTTCCTTACTCCACAGTCTGTCTGTCAGCAGTAAGTGGGAACCTGGTTGTAAGTCAGTTGACAGATTGCTTTTCCGGGGGTAATACAATACAAAATTACATTTCTATAGTGCCTTTCATGTCGGGAGGATGTCCCAAAGTGCTAATAATCCCTGTTAAAAAATTCACTCAATCCAAGACTGTTTGTGGGACACTCCTGTGCGGAATTGTCTGCTGCATTTCGTCCACACACAAAAAATACAGTCAGTTCACTTCACAGTATATTCTGTGAAATGCTTTGAGACGTCTTGAAGACGTGATAAGGTACTATATCAAATGCAAGGTTTATTATATCAGATCTACATTGTTTTTTTCTGGTTTCATTAATCTGTGAGTTTTGTTATCAGAACAGTCCTTTTGTGTGTAGCGTGGATTCAGCTGTCGATGGCTTTATTCCCCTTCCTCGACTTATTTCCGTTTTCCTTCTACACCCAGTTCCACATTCAGATTAGAAGGATGTAGGGGAAGGGGGGATGAGGAGTAATATCTCCCCCACCCTGTTGCAGTTTCTCTATCACATATTTCCCCGTTAATAATTAGCTGGGCACAATGGCATTGGGGGTACAGTGCAGACATACATTCCTTTGATCAGGAACCTGGCGAGTTTCCCTTCCGCGAGCTCCTTCCCATCCCAGTGTGTCTGTCTCCTGGAGTACAGGGCAATGTGAGCCCCGCTCTAGGCGGCTGGTCTCGGGCTGATTTTGATTGATTTGATTTTGACCCTGTGTCAGATCATTGCTAAGATGGCAAGTTGTGAATTCTGCTTACAAAGAGTTTCCTGGATGGTGGCAACACACAGCTCTTTGTTTCTCTCTGCTTCAGTGGCCACATTTTTCTTCTCCAAGCTATAGAGGTGGGTTAGAGTCCGCTGCTGATCTGAGGGTCTCGTTACAGGAGACTGTTTAATAGACTGATAGTGTATCTTGCTGTAATTACTGATTTGCAGCTGGAAGAGTCAGGAAATATAATAATAATAATACTTGCATTTGATATAGCGCTTTTCACGTCGGGAGGACGTCCCAAAGCGCTTCACAGAACACACTGTAAAGTGAATTGACTGTATATTTGTGGGTGAACGCGGCAGCCAATTGCGCACAGCAATGTCCCACAAACAGTCGTAGATTGAAAATGACCAATTTATTATTGTTTTGGGTTTTTGGAGGGATTATTATTAGGTGTGTGGAGTAAGGAAACTTGCCCAAGGTTTCATTCTGCCTGGAATTGAACTCAGGTCTCTCACTTGCAAAGCGAGTGCTCTAACCACTGAGCTACAGGACTCCACCAATGGGGAATGTCTGTGTGTGTGTGTGTGCCAAGCTGTGGAAGGGGTGCCAGTTTGTGTGTGTGGTGGGGGGTTGCCAGGATGGCAGCTGCCACAAGCCTCAGTGTAGACTGAGCTGAGAATGGCAAACTTAGGGAGTGGAGTGGTAGCTTAGTGTCAGGGCTTGGCTGTACGTCTGTCTCCCCAGGAAGAGAAAGAGAGAGAGAGGGGTTCAGTGTGGGAGTTTCTGTGCTGCTTTCCTTGGTTGAATTCTTGCTCAGAATTGATCAGATAGTGGGCTTGGGAGTGTGTGTAAGTGGCCATTGGGGGCTTTTGTCTCAGATAAGTGGGTAACCACTGGATACAGGTATCACAGGGTAGTGTCAGCTAATGGGGTGATGTGGATGTGGAGGGTGTTTGGCTGTCAGGGCAGTGGATGAGTTCAGGCCACTACCTTGCCTCAGACTGGTCAATGCTGTGTCCCAGTCAGAAAGTTCTGAATCCTGTTTGCTTGTGATGTCCTGCTCAGCCTCTCCAGGATATGAGTGTTTATGTGTAGCACTTGCTTTTGGAGTGTGACATATTTTGATTCGGAGGTAATGTAGTTGATTTATGAGCTCTTAATGTATTTGACTCGAACTGACATGCAGGAAGTGTAAATAGACGTGAAAACCACAATATAGGGGTTTGTGCAAACCTCTGGTCTCACTGTCTCGGCAGTGGGTTTGAGATCCCTCAGCAGCGATAGTAGCCTTTGTTTTACAGCTGTGTCTCTGTTCCTGTACTCCCCTGACCTCCAGGAAGTGTTCTGTGGGTAATGATCGGAAGTCAGAAACCTGGCCAATCTTTTCTCTCTCTCTCTCTTGCTGACCCAAGTGTGCCAATGGCTGCCCTGCAAAGATCAGTCACTCCACACTAGTGAGGGCTGAGACTATGTGGCCCAGTGCAACAGAAGTCAGAGGAGCTCACTTAATGGAATCTTTAGCTGATTCTCGGTTTGTTCTGCATTCAGCTGCGAGGATAAAAAAAATTTGGATGGGGAAAGTTTCAGTGATGTTGGCAGTGATGCTGTGGGCATTGCCTTGATTCCTGCAGGGTTACAGATGGAAAGTCTTTGAGCGCTATGTCAAAGACTATGAGTGTGTGCTGCACTGGGCCAGGAATCGCAGGCCTGATTCCTGGATTGTATCTGAGTTTGATTTACCTCAACCAAGGCAGGCACAGCGCCTGATCCTGGGCTAATTATAAGCAGAAAGTGCCAGAGATCATAAGTATAAAATATAATAATAATAATTCTTGCATTTGATACAGTGCCTTATCACGTTCTTCGAGCTGTCTCAAAGCGCTTCGCAGAATATACTGTAAAGTGAATTGACTGTATATTTTGTGGGCGAAACGTGGCAGCCAGTTGTGCACAGCGGTGAGTGTCCCACAAACAGTCGTAGATTAAGTGACCACATTTTTTTTTGTTAGTTAATATTTCTTAGGTTAAATTGATAAAGTATAGTGTGTTTGTGTGTGTTTGCCTGTGTGTATGTTTGTCCATGTGTGTAGTGAGGGAGAAAGGGAGCCGTGAGCCACACTGCTGTAGCTGAGCTGGGAGGTGGCGGCTGCCTTTTGCCAGCGCACACCCATCCAAGCTGTTACAGTGGCTTCAGGTGCTGAACATCTCACAGAGGAAATGCAGCCTTGGGACTTCCTGGTCACTCTGAGTACAACAATGAACAATGCAGTAATTGTTCTTATTCCATCCGCAGTGATTCCAGTTCCTGTACCCCAGATTGTCACTGGTTAGTTCAAGCAACAACAACAAGATTACATTTGTATAGCGCCTTTCATGTCGGGAGGACATCCAGTGTACAGCATTTCAGACCCGAGCTGGGGTCAGAGGGGGAGAAGGGAGGGAAAGGGGGGGTGACCAATGGCATGATCAAAGAGGAGGGTTTTGAGGCGGTACTTGAAGAGGCTAAGGAGGAGGCAAGACGGAGTAATTAGGGGATGGAGTTCCATAGGTTGGGGGCAGAGTGGCTGAAGGCTCTCCCACCAATGGTGGGGCGAGTGGGTCGGAGGACGTGCAGCAGGCCGACTGAGTCACAGAGATAAGGTGGGTCGAGACCATTGAGGGCTTTGTAGGTGAGGACCAGGATTTTGAACTGGATCCTCTGAAGGATAGAGAGCCAATGGAGTCGGCCAAAAATGGCGGAGATGGGGTCACGGAGTTTGGAGCGGGAGAGGACACGGGCTGCAGAGTTCTGGATTATCTGCAGCCTATGGAGGGAGGAGTTGGGAAGGCCGACAAGCAGGGCGTTTGCATAGTCGAGCCTGGAGGTGATGAAGGCATAAACAAGAGTTTAAGCGGCCTGAGGGGTGAGGTAGTGGCGGAGTCGGGAGATGTTAGGGAGACAGAGCGAGTCATGGCTTGGATGTGGGGAAGAAAACCTCCCTTTTTGTAATCTGATTGAGGTTCCTGCTGTCCTTTGGGTGATTCTAAACCTAGTGCCAGTCTGTTGTAGTGTTTCAGGCAAACACCAACGATACAGAGAGGACTGCTCTACACACGTAACCTCAGTATCTCTTCTAATTTGTACCCAAAGGAAAACCTGTCAGGTGTCAGACATTGGGGGTTCAAGCCCCATGTCTGCTATGTTGAGGCTGATACTGCGGTTCAGTGCTGGTAGTTCAGGTCGTACTATTCACACCGCCTCCACCAGGACCTGATGTCGGACAAGCAGTCGGTCAGAGCGCCATCAGTCCTGGAGTTCAGGATGGAGGTAGAGTTGGGTGTCATCCGCATACATGTGGAAATTTACCCCATGTCTGCGGGTGATGTCACCAACTTGAAAGACGCTGCACTAACTGAGAGGATAAAAAGAAAGGGAAACACCGGCTTTGCCAAGTTCACAAGTTGCCAGCTAATGGAATAATTCAGGGAAATGCCGTATGCTGTCTGCTTGTGGTTTGTATTGCAGATAAAGCCCAGGGGAATTGTAACTCTTGTGCAAATATGGAGTGAATGCATATCAATAACGTATTGAGGTATGTCTCGCAGTGTGCAGGGTGCTTACTATCCTTTGCTCGGTAAAGTGCTCATCGTCTCAGTCCAAAGAATGTTACAGCGAACAAACAGCAGTGTGGTTACCTCTCTCTCCTGCTCACTCCCCACACACATTATTCTTTAATAGTCCTCTTCTCCAAGTCCTTTTAAAATAATTTGTGGGAGTTTTAATAGCAATAAAACTCTAATGTAGCACAGATAAAAACAGAAGTGGCTGGGAGCACTCAGCAGGTCAGACAGCATCGATGGAGAGAGAG